TTTTTTTTTTTTCAACTTAACCATCGTCATACGACTAAACTGCATTTTTAAATGATACTTAGAAATCAGAATTTGTTACAACCACCAGAAGAAAGAAAAGCTGAAATACTCCAGCAATGCCGAATCAGGAATTTGATTTCTTCGATTACCTTGGCCCATTGGCTGTTGCTGTTTGCTTTGCATTAACGCTTTTTATTCTTTCATTGATATTCAACTTTTTACTAATTCGCAAAAGTGATGATCGAACAGTAATCGAAAAGGTAGCCCTTACTCATTTCTATTTTTTTCCCCAACCTTTTCAGTTCCCCACTTTTATTGATTTCACAGCTACCATCATTCACTGCCTTTCCTTCCTGCCCTCACTGTTTATGGGTTTAAGAAAAAAAATTCAGTAAGATGGTCGACAGTGTCATTTATTTAAAATTTACTGGATTTTATGTCTTTTTTTGTGTTGATCGGCTATAAATAAAAGTTAAAGGTTTAAGTTGTGCTATTATTTAGTTTGGTTCAACGTTTGACCTGCGTTGCGGAGTACACAGAATGCGGCATCGACCAAACGAGGTGAGGACACCCTAAACTAATCTGTAGTTCACATCCGTTTACTCAATAAGGCTGAATTTTGTTGCTAACTTAATTCAGTATGAGATGAGTAAACAAAAGAAAAAGAACTTCAGTGCAAAACTAATGATAGTTTTTAAAAAAAATGCTTCATCCAATATTACCAAAATTGGTTTATTCTATTTTAGTCTCGAAAGCAGCAAAGAATATTAGACAGTAGTGTGATCTGAAATGACGAGAATGTTTAGTATGCTGCAAGTTTAAACTGGATTTCCTGAGGTCAATTCAACCAAAATGGAATCTTAGAACAGCTGAACAAGTGCCCAGGCTCTAATCTGTTTCATTTATTCGGCTATATATATATAGAAATAAAATGTAATTCATCATTAACACTCATCTACAGATATACTGGATGAACAGAGTTTTCCCAAAACTGTATCAAATGTCCTCTGTACCTTGTTTTTTTACCATCCCACCACTTCTTAGGTGTATCCTTCGTTTTAATAGACGTTGTTAGTTACCATTATTTGTAGTTCTCTTTCTTGCAAAAAGTATGTATGCAGCGACGAGAAAAACAAAATTGACAAACGAACACTGTTTTCAGCGGATATTTTTCTGAAAATGTGAATATAGTACATTTCTATATTTTCTACTAATTTAATACTATTAATCTGTCATAATTATGTAACAGAATGTCACGAGTTCATTTCTTTCAATCCTCCAATTTTCTCTTGTTTTGTTTAAATTGCAGTATTTATTTACATGCTAAGATATTAACTGATATGTGTGCAAAAATAATTTGTTGTCAACAAATAATGAGTATAAAAGTTGTGCTACAACATGAAAAAATTCTCCTTTTTTTTTCATGTCGTCCGTGACAACAGTGTCAATTTTTAGTATGATATCCTACACAAATACGCATATCCTTTCCTCCCTTTTTCCTCTTTTTTTTTTCTTGCTACTGCACTATCCAACCACAACCAATTTTTCATTTTTAAAACTTGATCTACAAATAAAAAAAAGCGGTAAGAAGAAACAATAAATTAAGCCTTTTCTTGCACCAAATATCTGCTGATGTAAAACTGGAAGTCACCATATACATATTACTACATTACTAAAATTTCTTATCTAAACCCTCTTATCCTCTTCTTTGTGAATAAATACGACCCAGACAATATTATTTGACTAGCTACCAGGA